AACGAGGGAGGTAAGGACCCGAGGAACAAGAAGACGAGCGGCTCGAAGGTAGTCATACAGAGGGGGAGGCGCGACAACAAGGGAGGGCGGAGGAGGCGACGGCAGGAGGGGAGGACAAGACACGTGGGAACGAAGCAACATAGGGTGAGAGCGAGGAACAGAAGAGACTGGACGAGCCCGAGAGGGATGGCGAGACCAGACGTGAGCCAGAGGTGTCGGGTCAGGAGATAGAGGAGGAGTAACAGGAGGGGAACGAGGGGGAAGGCGAGCCGGAGACGAGTCCGGAGGAGGGAACACAGGGCCAAAAACAAGAAATGGAGGAGACGGTAGAAGAGGGGGAGACGCGCGGTCAAGGGAGGGAAGGCCGAGCAGGCGAAGGGCGGATACCGGCGGCAACTGCTGCTGCGGCGGCTGCACGACGCCGACACCTGGACCGCCAACCACTCCACGGCTACCTCCGACACACTCCACTCCAGCACCCCGAGACGAAACACCCCCAGAACCAAAAGCTTGCTCCGCACCGGTACCACCCCTAGGCCTACCGGGACAAGCCACGACATGAGCCTCCTCAACGCCAGCACCCCCACAAGGCACGAACTGCTGCCGCGGCGGCGACAAAGATGGTGGCTGCTGCAGCGGCGATGACGACGGCTGCGGCAGAGACGGCAGCTGCGGCTGCGACGGTGGCTGGGGCTGCGACGTAGGGTCACCAGAGTCAGCAGACTCCTCAACCGGGACAACCAACGGGAGGGGAGTAACGTGAGACACACCAGACTGGGCCGGACAGGGAGGAGGGGGGGCAGGGGTGACTGGGGGGAGGAGGGACCAGGAATAGGGGGGGAGTAACCGGGGGACCACGGTGGGGAAAGCGGTGGTAGAAGGAGACGGACTCCTCAAAGGTGACGTCGCGAGAGTGAAAGAAACGGTGGGACGGGGGGTGGTAGAAGTGCCAGTAAGACGAGTCGAGGGGGAAACCTAGGAAGACACAGGGGAGTGTGCAGGCAGTGAGCTTGTCCGTGCCAGAGGCACGAACGTGGGCAAGGCAGCCCGAGACGTGAAACGCAGACGCGTCATCAAGAGACCCAGTCCAGAGGAGAGTCGACGAAACCTGCGGCCACTGAGGGTGTGGCCACAGGTTAAGCTAGTGAGCGGCGTAGCGAACGGCGAATGGCCACATAAAATTGGGTGCACCGGCATGAATCATGGAGGTACGTGCCACCTCCATGACCAAACCGATGCTTCTCTCAGCGACCCCATTCTGCTGCGGGGAGTCCGGCAAGGTGAACATCCAATACAAGCCATGGGATAAGAACATCAGGCACGTCGGCCTTCCACTCCAAGGGAAACACGGTGGTGTAACGAGTGTAGTCATCAACAAGGACACGGAAGTAACGCTCACGACGCGGCCCATGGACGGGGGCAAGGCCCTAGACGTCCATGTACAAGGTCTGCAAGGGTGCGGTGGTGGGGGGGAACGAGGAGGAGTGAGGGGCACGGCGGAGCCGACCCTCGACGCATGGGGTGCACGGCGGTGCGGGTGAGGAGGGGAGCTCGGGGAACGACCCAGGGAGACCTAAGACAAGACTGTGCCGCGACATGTGACGAAGACAAGGGAGGGCAGGGTGACCGAGACGGTTGTGCCTCAGGAGGGTCGGGTGAGTAAGGGACCGACACGAGCGAACCGCAGCTACTTGAGGAGACACGGGCACCTGGGGAGATGCCCCAACCGGGGGGGGCCGCAGTGTCCAGCGTGAACAGGCCGGACACCAGGTCCCGGGGGAACGTGGTGAGGGGAACACCAGTGGCGGCCTCGGTACAGACAGCGTACCGCTTGTGACCAGGGAACATAGTGGTGACACCAAGGTCCTGGAGGCAGTCGACACCAACTAGGTTCCTAGAGAACGAGGGGATGTGTAGGCCTGTAAGCGAGCCCGAAGGAGCTGCCGGACAAGGAAGGGTATTGGAGCTACGAGCTATGAGAGGGATTGAGGAAGGGTCAGCCAGGGAAACTGCGGCGGGAGCGGCAAGCGGCGTGAGAGTAGTGGAGTCCCGGAAGAAGCACCGGGAAGCGCCGGAGTCCACGGTGAAGGAAAGCGCAGCAGAGGCGGGAGGGGTCGAGGAAGCGACGGAGGAGCCTAGACTAAACAAAGCAGGAGATCCTACGCCTGATGCAGCAGGGGAGTCGAAGCTAGACCATCCTACACAAGGCAACACGAGGTAAGCGGAACCAATCACACTAGAGTTATCGACGTACAGAACATACAGCGCAGAGCTTATCTCATCCATGTCCATATCAAAGTTCTGAACACCCCTACAAAGTAAGGTGAGCCAGTCAGGGAGGTCGGGCGCCGGGCCGAAGTGAAGATGAAACAGGTCGTCAAGGCGACTGAAATAGCGAGTGGTGGTGTGACTGGTCTTACCGCACACGAGGCCATGGCGAGGACCGATTTGGAGCTGGTACTGGCAGCACCCGTCGCCCGCACCACCACACATCGTCACACCGCGCACACAATCACCGCGACCGCCACTACCACCAGCGCCCGGCCACCCACGCGGGAGACGACCAACCCGCCGCTGCGGCTGCGGCTGCTGCTGCTGCAATGGCTGCTGCTGCTGCTGCTATGGCAGAGGCTGCTGCAAGTGCTGGTGTGACAGCTGCTGATCGAGCGAGGGGACCTGCTGCTGCTCGGCGGTGCTAGGCCCAGGGCCCTCGTCAGCACCCCCAGCGGGCGACCCGGCTCCACCACCTCCTCCACCCCAACCAGCCCCACCACCACCACCACCGCGCCCAGCCTTGGGGCGGCAGCCCTTTCCAGGACGGGCCTGTACTGCAGCGGCTGTCTCAGCCACTGCAGCAGAGCCGTCAGAGAAAGTGCACTGAGCGGGCGCACAGCCCTGAAAGATAGAGACCGGCATTGTACTGCTGGACTGAGCAATAGAGCGCTGGCGGGTCTTTATGGCAGACAGGGTGTCAACAAAGTCACTGAGAGTGAGGTCGGCAGGGTGGGTACTAAGAAAGTGGTCATGGGCAGTGGCAAGGCGTTTTGGGAGGCGGTTGGCCAGCAGGTAGAGGGCATGCAGGAGGGGGGGCTGAAACACACACAACTGGGCCTCAGTGCAGGCCGAGCGCCAAGTAGAGTCTAGTGTGCGCAAGTGGGCGGCTAGGTGAGTGACAGTGGGGAAAGACGCGAGATCAGGGAAAAGCAGGGGCAAGATGAGGCGGCCGATGGAGGCAGAGGACGGGGTGGAATAGCGAGCAATGACAGCATCGAGAAACTCCTGTGCGGTCTTGATCGACCTAAAGCGGAGACGCTCAGACAGGGGAAGTGCATGACTGATGGCAATTTGTGCAACAGCGTCACGCGACAGCCAGACCGAACGGGCAAGGGCAGCAGCGGCAGCGGACTCGCGATCAGCAGGAGGAGGGTCAGCGGGCAGCATAGCGGGAGGGTCAGGATATGGGAGCGTACCATCAAGGTGGACGGCCAAGGAGTGGCCGTCCTGCCGCTGACCTGTGAGGTGACGTCCGAGGTCGACGAGCCACGTGTCGAACTCGATCGGCTGGCCCTCCGCGTCAAACCGCAGCACAGAGTCAGCCATCAGGAGCAATGCAGCTGCAATGCAGTGCTGTGCAGTGCGGTGTAGTGCGGTACAATGCGGTGCAGTGCGTTGCAGAGCGGTGCAGTGCGGTACAGTGCGGTGCAGAGCGGTGCAGTGCGGTGCAGATCGGTGCAGTGCGGTGCGGTACAGTGCGGTACAGCGTGGTGCACTACGGTGCAGGGCAGTGCAGGCGAGCACCAGGGCCTGGCGCGGAGACGAGCGCGGGCCGGGAATGAGGCAAGCGCGAGCCGGCTAACAGACGGGCGCAGGGCCGGCGGCGGACGGGTGCAGGGGTCGGCTACCGGTGCGCGCGGGGGCCGGCGTCGGAAGGGTGCGGGGCCGGGTAACGGACGGGCGCGGGGGCCAAGGACGGGGCGGGCGCAGAGGCTAGCTAACAGACGGGCGGATGGGCCGAGTAGCAAACGGGCGGGCCGGCTAACGGACGGGCCGGCGGGCCGGCTAGCGGACGGACGGGCCGGCTAACGGACGGGCGGGCAGGCCAGCTAGCAGACGGACGGGCCGGCTAACGGACGGGCGGGCCAGCTATCGGACGGGTGGGCTGGCGGACGGGCTAACGGGCGGGCTGGCTAAGGGACGGGTGGGCCGGCCGGCTAGCGGACGGACGGGCCGGCTAACGGACGGGCCAGCTAACGGACGGGCGGGCTGGCGGACGGGCGGGCCGGCGGACGGGCTAACGGGCAAGCCGGCTTAACGGACGGGCGCGGGGCCGGTGATGGGGCGGGCGCGGGGCCGGCTAACGGGGCGGGCACGGGCTGTCTACGGGGCAGGCGCGAGCCGCTACGGGGCTGGCGCGAGCCGCTAACGAACGGGCGTGGGGGGGGGGGGCGTCGAACGGAAGGGCGCAAGGCCGGCTACGGGGCAAAGGCGGGGCTCGGTGACGGGGCAGGCTAGCTAGGGGGAACGCGCCAGCTAGGGGGAACGAGCGGCTACGACCTAGGGCGGAAACGCTGGTGGGCGGAAGGGACCTAACCTACTCATGATACCATGTTAGAATGGAAAAATGACTAGAATAGGAGGGTATAAGGCAATATAGGCTAGAATGTTGTACCCTCTAAGGCATAAACCTGTATAGTCTACTGTAACATACTAAGTTATGTTTGATACTCGACACTGTTGGATATTCAACATTCCTCATTTTTGTGCTTCAATTGACACTCCATGTTCATCCACAATTTCTTATGTGAGCTACACTCCAGCAGCACTGCACTAGGTTGATTTGCACTTTTGCAACCACTCCTAGTTGAGAGATCGGACAAGCTACTTGGGAGTAAACTTTGTTTAATTCTATATATATTATATATATATAATTGTAGGCTTGGTAGGTGTTATCGGATCCATTTGTAGAGGGGACAACCCCCCTTCTTCTATCTCCTTCTCCTTTCTAGTCCAACCCTTTTTTCCTCTCGTAACTTCTACCCCTAGCCTAAAACCTCTCGCCATCTTTCATGGCTCCCTAGCTAAGCTCCTAGGCTACTTTCAATAAAATTTATAGGATATACTAATTTGAACAGGCTTTCTTTAGAGTAAAGCCTCGTGTCGGGAGCCCTATCGAGTAGGTTTGAGTGGAAATGTCATTTCGACGAAATCCCTGAAGCTGCCGAGGTGGGACGATGGTGGTTCACCACAAGGTGGAAGAGGAAAGCAGCAATCGCGGCAATGATTGCGCTGCAGAGGAAAGAATGAAAGGGGGGGGTGGGGAGAGGGGGGGAGGGATGGGCAAGGTGCCAAGGAAACAGCAGCAGATGACACTCACACAATGCAACCGCCAACCACAGTGCAACCACCTATGTTTCCAAATTGGGTGAAGAGGTTGAGTTCACTAGAACGAACACACCCCAGCTTCAGTTTTCTCCCCTGTTGGGACTGTCGCGCATGGGTTTGGGGACCTCGTCGCACACGTTCCGAAATCGCCAACCTCCCGTAGGTGTGGCTTATGGTGGGTTCGTATCTGCCCAGTTTGTAAAAAAGTTCAATGGCAAGTTCGCTCTAGCAACCTGGTTTTTTCAAGAGTGCCCCCACTTCAAAAGCAGCTCACTTGAAGCCCCCCCTATGCTATTTTCAAGAGTGCCCCCACTTCAAGAGCAGCTCACTTGAAGCCCCCCTTATGCAAGTTCGCTCCGCTCTCGTTCTGGCGCACACTCCGCTCTCCCTCCCGCGAGCTCACTCCGCTCGCCCTCCCGCGCTCACTCCGCGCTCCCTCCCGCGCGCTCACTCCGCCCTCCCTCCCCTGCCCTCGCTGCTTCCTCCCTGCTTTCGCCTCAGCCACTAGGTTCTATCGCGTCTCTCCTTCCCTGCTATCGCGTCTCTCCTTCCCTGCTATCGCGTCTCTCCGTCCTTGCTCCCGCGTCACTCCGTCCCTGCTATCGCGTCTCTCCATCCCTGCTATCGCGTATCTTAGTTCCTGCTATCGCGTCTCTCCGTCCCTGCTCCCGCGTCACTTCGGCCCTCGGGATGAATTATGCGCGGTTCGCACTGCTTAGCCGGTCGTCACGGGATCTGCAGCATTATCGCTATCATTCCTTATGGCGCGAAGTTCCGTCTAGGCTTGGCTACGCGCGAGAGAAACCTCGTATGCTGGCTAGTTTCTAGTCACTGGTCACTCTCGCCTCGGTTCCAATTTACAAAAATTGATAGTAACTTTCCCTTAGCCGTTTGTGCTGAGAGAGAGCCAGGGGTTGGGCTGCTTGGGCGAAGATGTTTGCTTGGCCTTTCAACCAATCACGAGCCCCCTTTTACAGCAACCGCGTCATTGCTCAGTTTCATCCGGGTGCATGGGGTTACCAACATTTTTGCGTCGCGATATTGCTAGCAAAAAAACTCGTGCCTTGCAACTTGGGATCTGGGCTTTAAAACCACAGGCTAAAATAGCTAAGGGGGGGCTTCAAGAGCGCCGTTCTTGAAGATCGCACTTTTGAAAAAAAGCGGGTTCCCAGCACTATTTTGCGAGGTGCGTTTTTGGGCAGCTGAACAATGATAGAAACGTAGTGGCGCCGATTTGACGCGTGTGCGACGAGGCGGGAAACGCGCGCGCGACTCATTTGACCTTTTGCCAACTTGGTGAGACGAAAAGAAAACTACTGTACCTCGGAAGTATTCGGCGTAAGTGTTAAGGCTTCACATTACAAAGCTCCCTCGACCGCGACTCGCGAATAGGGTGGAGGTGAACTGTGCAACTTGTGTGCCGAACAGCCACATGGGTTGTGCGAAATGCGACCCAGGTAAACCTCGGGTTAAAAACCTATTGCACACCCATGGAGCTCTTGAAAAAACTGAGCCGTGTGAGCGGTCAGTCGCAACTTGATCCGCCGAGCAACTGGCGCCAAATCAATCGTCGCGCACCAATAACGTAGCAAAGGTACTTCGCATTACAAACAATTTCGGGTCCCATACCATTTCAGAAATAGAAAACGCACCAAAGGATCTGCCCCAAAACGAAACATTTTTTCAAGAGCTCCGCTGGTGTGCTATTCTAGCCTGTGGTTTTAAAACCCGCGGCCCAAATTGTTCATACGCACTGTATACCGTAATCCCCCATATATAGCACCCTAGGGCGTTGCAAAAAATCTACTAAAATTTTGAGTGGGTGTTAGTCTTGGCCCGGAAAAATATAAAGCCCACGTGTTCTATAAAATGCAAATTGAATCTAGGCTGTAACGGGCACTCTGAGCCCACAACTACATGGAGCGACTATCAATGAGGAAAATGTAACAATGATTGCACATTCTGACAGGGCCGATTCTGTGCCTTGGAAAACGGCAGGAAAGTGATCCAACGGTGGTTTCACTATGTTGGACGACCCCAATCCTCGCAGCCTTTGCTCACTGTCTGATTTCGCGCCAGAACTTGTGTTGTTTCTTTTGCCCTTATTTGCCCTGCTAACCACAGTTTACTCGAAATTGTCACGCGAACCTTTTTTCGAAGCAGATCCGACTGTGTAATGAGCGGACAAAAACGTTTCAAGCGTGTTAGGTATAATGCAAGCTTAAAAAAACGGGTGCTCTAAAAATTTCGCCGTATCATACCGTGTTCCCCCGGATATACGCACCGCCAGCTAAAACGCACCATGGTGCGTATATCCGGAGGGGTGCCATATCGGGCGTGCCATCTATACGCACCTCCCCTCTACGCAGGATCTAATCCCTACACGCACCCCCTTTTTTACCGCACAAGAATCTTGCGCTGACTAGGTTGACCACAAATTCGAGTTGAGATTTGCCTATGATTTCGTTTCATCACACGGAATCCATCCTCTCGCCACCTCCTCACGCAAAATGTGGTCAACATTTCTTTTCTGCTGTGCGAGACGAGAGGAACGGACGGTCAGGATCGACCCTTCTTGCCTGCTTGCGGGCAAAGTGCAGGGATCCAGCCTGGTTGGTGAGTCGATCTAGTGTCGGGAGATTTTCGAGGGGTTGTTTGGGGTATTCGCGTTCGGGAGCACAACCACCCGAGTTGAAATTGTTTGAGCTACATTTTCACATTTTTTTGTATTTTCCTATACAATATTTTAAACGCACTGAGCCATATCGAAAAAAAATCGAATAAACGCACCCCCCATTTCGAGACTATAATCCCTAAACGCACCTAGACGCATATATCCGGGGGAATACGGTAAGCTATCCCCCGCATATAGCACCAATGGAGTGACTATTTCAGCGGGTCTTATACACGGGGGAATACGGTATGAAAAATGGGCCACGGTATTTGCAAAACAGTGGGAAATTCGTCAGTAGTGTAATGTCTCGTGAAACCGAAAATGCATCGCACACCGTCACATCCCTTTTGAGAGCTTTCGACGGTCGCGATTGTGCTCTGCACTGTATCTGGTGCAACTTGATCCGAAGCAGGCCCCTAGATTGGTTTTGAGGCCTCCTGATGACTCAGGGGTTGCAATCGTTTTTTGCCTGTATTTTCAGGACGCCTAGTGGAAGCCAAGCTTGTGAGTCAGGACAGCTTTTGAAAGAATGCCTGTTTTTTCACGGTTCCTTAAATTTAGAGTCCTGCCTAAATGTTGTGCTTTTTGCATTGGAAGATCACATAACATCAAAGCTTGCAGTACATAGTTAAAGGATCCAGCAATGATTCATATTTAAGACTTATCATCCCATTCATCCATGGCAGAATCCATGGTCGACACTTCTACAGGTCGCTCCTCCACCTCATTTCCCTTGTTCTTGACTAGCCTAGGTTGTGCTACGGTTCTAAAAGGCTTCCTCTTCTTGTATGCCCTCCACACGTCCACCACCTCATCCCAGTTTGGCTCATAATCGAGCAGACTGATGCACATGAGATCGCTCAGCCGTGTGTCCTTCAGGCTACCCCGCAGCCACGACTTGATGACATTCTGTCGAGAGAATCCCTGCTCACATTCCACGGTGCTCAGCGGAAGCACGGCCACAGCCACCCACAGCTTCATGAGGTTGGGGTAGGCATCTTGCCAATCTGTTGTCTTCAGCATCACAGTGAGGCCGGCGTGGAAGCTTTTTTCGCTCTTCGGAAGTGTTGCAAGGATCGGGGTGAAGTGTGACAACTCCCGCAGTGCTTGGAGTGGTTCCACTCTTCTCACAAGCACTGCACCCTCCTCGCTTGCCGATCCCAGTCCTTTGGCCAGGTGGAAACGCAGAACAGCTTTACCCCTACCATCTTGCGAAGATCCCCGAGGCGCTCGTTCAGGTTATTCACCATCCCTTCCGCAAGGTCCATGCAAGCCACCACACAGTTGTCATGCTTCCCTCCCCCAGGGTACCTTTGCAGCATGTCAACGTGAAGCTCAAACGTGAAGCTCGTGAGACTCCCGTCGTAGTCCACGCCACTAACAGTGACCTCGCGAGAACCGCCGGGACCATGAAAGGTGAGGAAGTTGGTGAGATGGTCCTTCGGGCCACCCCCGAACTCATCCCCGCAGTCGACGTAGCGGCTCAGGAACAGGCTGGTGATGCGAAGAATGGACACGTGGACGGTCAGGCTGTCCATCTGTCGGGGGGATGGGAGAAGGTCGGGGGCAAGCAAGGTAGGACAACAATATGAAGTGACGTCCGCAAGTATACCACCACGCTTATGCAATTGTTATCTCACCTCGCGCTCCTGAAAACCCTTGTTGAAGATGTTGAGCTGCTCGAGGACGTCAGCAAGGAAGTGGACGAAGAACCAGAAGTGGTAACTGGTCGCAATTCTGTAGAGCCTGTTGTCCGGGAACTCTCTTAGCATAACCACAAGCTCAGGCAACACCGCCAGCAACCGCGAGATTGCCTCACCTCTCGACAACCATCGAATGTTGTGAATACCCTGGAGCTCCAAGGTAGTCGAGAGGAATAGGTCTTGCAAGTCGAGAAAGCGCTGGTGCTACGGGCCGGATCTTCCGGAGTACTCCGCCAGCTCCTTGATGAAGTCATCCACAATTTGGAACACCGGAAGCACCTCTGATGCTGCCTTGGCTGCCAAAGCCTCCCTGCATGGCAAAACGTGAAAACAATACATTAGCGTAGTGCAAGCAAAGTTGGACGGCGTTAACTCTTGTACTCACAATGACAAATGTTACCTATGCGCAATATAGTGACACGCCACAAGGTGAGGCACTTGCTGGCGCAGTCGAGTAACAAGCCCACTCTTCGACCCCATCATGACAGCCGCCCCATCAGTGCTGATGCCGGAGACTCACTGGAGATCCACCCCAATGGCGTTCAGGTGGGTAAGCAGTAGGACGAGCAGTGAAGACGCATCGGCTTTGTCCACCGTCAGCAAGGCCAGGTACTCGCACACCAACCGGTTGTCGCGAATGAAATGGGCGTACACGATCAAGTGCTTCCCTCGGCAGCGGTCGGTGCTCTCGTCCAGCATGAGGCCGATCTATGGACTCGACAGAAGGTGGTGAAGCTGCGTTGTTTGGAGCCAGGTTGCCGTTGCTAGTGTGAATTCGCCGAATCCGTACCTGCATGGTTCACATGGACCAATACACACTGTAAGTCCGACGTACAACCTAAGACACGCACCAACGACACGGTCTAGATAATCAGAAAACATCGAGGGCATTACCAGAATGAAGTCCGTAGCTAAGCGGTGATGATTGTGTACTCGCGTGTTGTAGTAGATGCCGTAGGCCTGCTGCGGGAAACCCGTCACCTTCCACGACGCCAGGTACTAAACAAGCCGGATCCATGTCTCGGCCGGCTCGTTAGTCTTGCAGCAGAACCACAAGGCATCCAGCAGGGCAGTGACGCGCTCCCTCTCAAGGTCCCCGGCAAGGGGATGTTGATCGATGCGTTGTTGTCTGGTCGCCTGTTGCAGCAGATCGTTCTGCTTCTGCAGAGCGAGTTGGTGCTTGCCGGACCCCGTGTGTCGTGTAAACGCCTGAGTCTGAGCATCGCATAGGCCTGGGCCACGCTTGCCAGCCTTCCCAGAAAGACCTGCATGCTCCAAGCACAGGGTACACTTAAAGGCAGGCAAGCCAGAGTCAGTCTTTAAAATGACAAGCCACGGGAATCGCGTCGACCAACGGGTCTTAAACCTGCTGTGAGCAGGCTGAGTAGACGACAGCCCGGGTACAGCTGGGGGCGGGGATTCGGCAGCGGGGACTGTGCTGTCTCGAAACACACGCGCGTCAGGCTTTGGCGGGACAGCTGCTGGACCTGCGCTGTCTGCGGGTTGGAACATCGACAGACCAGGTACCAAAATTTCGGCAGCATGAACCGAAACGGGAAGACTCCAGCAGCCAGGTGGCATTGCTTGCACAGCCTCTAGGGAGGAAGCTCGCTGGGTGGATCGACGGCAGTCGCGCTACTGCGGGTGGGGTATTTCTGACTGCGGGCATCGTAACAATGCTCGCTTTTCCATTGACGGTGATGGGTGCTGCACGGGCCTCTACTGCCCTAGGATTGCTGCGTAGCGAAGACAGGCTAGACAGTAGCATGTCTAGCCCTGAATGAGCCTCGGCCATAGCTGCGACATGGCCGTCAGCATCGTCCTCAGGAGCCTCGTCGCCGGCGTCAGCCATGGCGACGTGGGGGGCCGTAGAGCGATCAACGTGAGAGAGATGATGGAGGGCTTCTTGCACGACAGGTGAAACGGAGGCGAAAGCTAGGCAACGAGTCAATGAGATGGGCAATTTTGCCCTACCGTAAGGATGACCTCGACAAGAGAGGGGGGCGCGATTCGAGTCGAATGGACAGACGACAATGGGGCTGCATCTGGCCTTCATTCCAGAGGCCAGCGCAATGCATGCACCTGTTGCTTCATTGTCACCCGCTCTGCATGACAGCATTAGTGTGCTGGCGCAACGCTAGGCTTTGTTACTGGTTGACGAAACCACATTTGCCTTAGCACCAATCACATCGTGCAACATCGATGCCTTCAGTATACAGCTGTGCTGCAGGTTCTGACCTAAGCCAATCACTTCTCACCGTGCAGTGAGCTGGGCAGCATATGACTCGGCTGGTCGGTAACTTGGGTGAAATTTCAGGGACCTTGACGTGATTTGCTGGAAACACGTGGGGGGAGGGGGGGGGGGGAGGCGCAAATCCCGGTATTGACAAAATCAGGACGCGTACGCATTAGAGTGTCAGAAATTTCAGGACGCGTTACATAAACCATGCGGAGTGATCAGAGTTCACTATAAAAAAACCGCTGAAAAAACAGCATGCCGACAAAAAAAAACCCTACGCAATCAGGACAGCCCCGCTAACGGGGTCTGTTTTTTTCCTGAATCAGGAAAATTTTCCTGCAATCTAGGGGCCTGATCCGAAGGTAGGTTGATGACCATCGGATGAGCATCGGAAAACACTGGATAGTCGTGGTTCCTCTGGTATTCGAAGTTCCAAAATGCTTCTCGCCTCCAGCTTGATGTGAACCATCGCCAGCAGTTTTCATAAGCAGTGCGTTTGAACTGGGCGGCTTGCAATCTGGGCCACACGTTTTAACCATGAGCAACCGACACATGGCTTCTCTTCCTGTGTAAAAAAACAATAGCTCCAGTTTGAAGCAACATGGCACCAAAAACTTACAGCGATAGGGGCATGGTAGCTGAATTGTGAAGAGAGAAGGCCGGCAGCAGAGGGACCGGTTTGGCTAAGAGACGCCTCATGCCCACAAGCACATGAGAAACTGAAACTCGCAGAAACATGCATGTGCTGATGCCATTACCTGATTGCGACAGGGGCGTGGTAGCCGAATTGGGACGAGACGAGGCCGGCGGTAGAGGGACCGAGCACTCTGCACGCAGACATGATGGCGTCTGATAGACCCAGCAGCTGCCCCACCTGGGAAGGAGGGAGGGGGAGAAGAAGGGGGAGGGGTGGTAGGGAGGGTCTTGGCATGAGTGTGAGGGGTGGTAGGGAGGGTCTTGGCATGAGTGTGAGGGGTGGTAGGGAGGGTCTTGGCATGAGTGTGAGGGGTGGTAGGGAGGGTCTTGGCATCAGTGCGAGGGGTGGTAGGGAGGGTGTTGGCATGAGTGTGAGGGATGGTAGGGAGGGTCTTGGCATGAGTGTGAGGGGTGGTAGGGAGGGTCTTGGCATGAGTGTGACAGGGCCCGAGCACTCGGCAGGCAGCCATGATGGCGTCTGACAGCCCCAGCAGCTGCCCCACCTGGGAGGGGGGGGAGTGGATTGTAGGGGTACAGGATAGAGGAAGATTGGGAGAGAGCCGTATGCGCAACTTCAGTTGAACCAATGAGCACACTGCCGGCAGACATGATGGGAGGAGGAGGAGGAGGAACCGGGGGAGAGGGGTGGAGAGAGCATGTAGGAGATCATGCTGCACAGTGACTGGGCACTCTGCAGGCAGCCATGATGGCCTCTGATAGACCCGGCAGCTGACCCACCTGGGGAAAAGAAAGGGGAGTGGGTTGGGGGAAAGGGAAAGGGGGGGGGAGTGGCGGGGGGGACATCAGCATCTCGTGGCAGTCATGATGGCGTCTGACAGACCCAGCAGGTGGCCCACCTGGGGTGGGAGACAGGACGAGGAAGTAGAACCAGGGGAGAGGGGAGAAACGAGGGCAAGTGGGGAGGGTAAACGCAACTACCATCACGTTGCGGACGGACAAGAGGGAGGGCCACGTTGCAGACCTGACGGCGTCAGCAGAGGTGGTGGGTGGTGAGTGGAGGGCAGTGCATGTTCGGTGGGAAGGGTGGTGGTTGTGGTGCTAGTTTCCCTACAGATAATGAGCTATTTACCTCGGTTTGGGCAACAGAGGTGGTGAGGAGGGCGGTGTAAGTGGTGCGGAGAACGCCAGTCGAGAGGGCGAGAGGGGGTAGTAGGAGCACCAGGAACGGCTGAGGGGCAGGGGAGTCAGAAGGGGAAGATATTCGAAGAAGAACAGAATGAAAAAGAGAATAAAGAACATGTGCAGCTTTATGGAGAAACGTGGGCTATGACAAGGGACAAGGAGAGAATGGATTAAGAGAAGCACGTTCTGTGGAGAGGAGAGGTGGGGTTGGAGAGGGGGAGGCAGAGCGCACGGTACAGATCTGCTTACAAGGCTTGGAGCAGCGGCAAGGAGGGCGAGGGTGAGGGAGAGCAGCAGCATGCCGCGGAAAAAAAGAGGGGGTTCTTGGAAGCGACGCAGCAAGGGGCGGATGGCGAGGCCTTGCACCAGCGAGGTGAGGAGACCCTAATAGGCGGACATACAAAGCGAGGTGGGGAGAAATTGGAAGGAAAAGGGGCCGACGAAGGCGTCTTGGGAGCGATGCAGCAAGGCGCGGATGGCCAGGCCTTGCACCAGCGAGGTGAGGAGAACCTGGAAGTGGTCGAAATGGGAAAGGGGCGGATGGATGATGCTACGGGAGGTCAGATGGGGAGAGCGATGAAGGGGGAAAGATTTTGAGGGAGAGGGAAAAGAGGGGTGAAGAGTCTGGGGCTTGAGATGTGAGAATCGCGTGAAGCAGATGTTTAGTTGGTAATGCTGCCACGTGCCCATGCCCAGTCTGGACAGACAGATTCAGTCGGCAGATGAGGGGATGCGAGAAGCCCTGGTGGAAAAGATGCAAGCGAAAGAGATGCACCTTTAGAGGCGCCTCAAAGAGACCTGAAGTTACATGCAAGGAACAGGGAACAGGATTACCGGCACATCACACTCACCTGCAGCAAGAGCAGCAGCCCGTTGGTCTGCACGGAGAGGTTGAGCCAGTAGATGAGGAACAGGGAGAAGCCGATTCATTGCGAGCCGAGAAGACGCTTGCAAGGCCTGGACTCACCACACCGCCGTGATTCAGCCTCACCTGCAGCGACAGCAGCAGCCCATTGGTCTGCACTGATAGATTCAGCCTGTAGATGAGGAGTAGGGAGAAGCCTTGGCGGAAGAGATGCACAGCGAGGCCTAGCACTGCCCGCACTGCCATGAGTGCCGCCACGCGGGGACGAGTCAGTATGGCGACCTGCAAGGGGGGAGGGCGGGCAAAGGGGGGAGGGTTAGGGAGGAGAGAGGGGGGGGGGGGAAAGAGCAAGAGAAGATTGGTTCACTCGCACCGCACTTGAAACGAGAAGCCCTGGCGGAAGAGATGCATGCACGGGCAGACCAGGAAGTGAGTGCACTGCCACCGGAGTTGCCACCCGTGGGCGAGTTATTAGGCGATCTGGAGGGACGGCGGGAGGGAGGGGCTGGGAAAGGCTACACACAGCCCGCACTGTCATGAGTGCTACCACCCTCATGGCAGAGGGTAAGAGGGGTTCGGGTCAGCACCCATGGCAGTGTGGGCCGGGGACGAGCTAACGTAGCGACCTACAAGGGGGAAGGGGGTAAGGGAAGGAAGCTCGGTTCAGTATGGCAATCAATAAGTGTAGGGGAATGCTTAGGAAAAGAAAGGAAAGGCGGGTCTGCTACAATCGAAGCAAAGGGAAGCAGGGGCATTAGGAATAGCTTAACCGGAGCCTGAGTAAGAGACATTTGGGTCGACTAAAAAATCACCTAAGGCAAGGTGAAGAAGGGGTTTAGGGGACGGGGGGGAAGTCCAGGTGGCAGCAAATGTACAGGGGGCTGGATCTGAAGACATGCGCTTGAAGCCATTGCTATGGAAAAATTCTGTGTGAGCGAGAGGAGGAGGGCAACCATTTCAGTTGAGATAGAGGGGTACAGCTAGGAAGGAAAGGCGAGAATAACGGGGAGCGCGGACAAGTGCCCAGCGTCCCCAGTTTATTCAAGAGCAGCTTACATTGGGAAGGAGCCCTCGCAACGAAAGGATAGAGCCGGCCGGGGGAGGGGACAAGCGAGGGCGTGAAGATGGGCTGGTAGCAAGGGTGTGTTCTCAAGCGCTGTGGTAGCAAGGGTGTGTTCTCAAGCGCTGTGGTAGCAAGGGTGTGTTCTCAAGCGCTGTGGTAGCGAGGGCTGGAGCCACTTACATTGGGAAGGAGCCCTTGCAGCGAAAGCACTCGCTTTCTCAAGGCAGGGTCTGGTGCCGAGTCAGCAGCCAGTCTCTGTGCTTGCAGCCGTGTGACAATAACGAATGAGTTTATGGCATACAGCAGGGCTGCTGCTGCTGTGGGGAGGGGATAACTGCCTGCCTGGGGGCCAGGGGGGGAGAGAGGTGGTGGGAGGAAGTGGGGCAGAGGAGAGACGGGGAGAGACAAGAGCAGTGGGATGGTGGGGAAGGAGACACCTTACTGGGAAGTTTATTGCATACACCAGGGATGCTGCCGCTGTGGGGGGGGGGGATTTCTGTCTGGGGGCGGGGGGGGGGGGGGGCAGGAGGGGGAATCAACAGGGGAGACGATGGGAGGGAAGGGATGAAATGGGAGAAGCGGAGAAAAGAGGAGAAAAGAGGAGAAAAGAGGAGAAAAGAGGAGAAAAGAGGAGAAAAGAGGAGAAAAGAGGAGAAAAGAGGAGGAAAGAGGAGGAAAGAGGAGAAAAGAGGAGAAAAGAGGGAGGGGGGATGCGCAACTTACGTTGGAAATAGACGCAGCGCAAGAGCCGGAAAGCAAGAAAGTCAAGACAGAAAGAAAGACGCAGGAAAGACCAAGGTATGAGGGACCCTTGAGGGTTGGTTGTCATTGAGGGTTGGTTGTCTGAATTCAAGTCGTCCCCTTATCTTTTCTTCTGTTTTTGGCGCTGGCCTGGAAAATCAAAGCAACTTCTGCAATCAAGAAATTCGACGTAAGTTGCATCCTTGGCTAAAACAAGCCACAGATGCAGCAGGATATCTTTATTAAGGGACGGGTTGACAAGAAGAGACTGCTCCTGATTAGAAAGACTAACCTTAAATAGGATTCCGCCCACAGCGGCCCCGACCATAATGCCCAGCGCTGATGCTGTCGCCATCCTGGATGGATGGGGTGACAGACGGGAATGGAAAGGCGAGGGGGGGGGTGAGGCGAATCAAGCGCCGTCGCAATGACCATGGTCTCAAGCGCCGTCGCAATGACCATGGTCTCAAGCGCCGTCGCAATGACCATGGTCTCAAGCGCCGTCGCAATGACCATGGTCTCAAGCGCCGTCGCAATGACCATGGTCTCAAGCGCCGTCGCAATGACCATGGTCTCAAGCGCCGTCGCAATGACCATGGTCTCAAGCGCCGTCGCAATGACCATGGTCTCAAGCGCCGTCGCAATGACCATGGTCTCAAGCGCCGTCGCAATGACCATGGTCTCAAGCGCCGTCGCAATGACCATGGTCTCAAGCGCCGTCGCAATGACCATGGTCTCAAGCGCCGTCGCAATGACCATGGTCTCAAGCGCCGTCGCAATGACCATGGTCTCAAGCGCCGTCGCAATGATCATGGTCTCAAGCATAGAGTGACACTTCTCGACTCAAGCAGGGGGTGCTGCTGCCATTCCATGGCAGTGGGATGGACAGGAGGGCCAGGTGGGCACGAGCACGGCGTAACTAGTTCCTTCAAAGCAACTTGCCTCCTCTGATACCTTGGTATAGCCCTGTGGGTAGTAACTGGGTATGTAACTAGGTACGTAATTAGGTTGGTGCGTCTAGATACGGAGACCTGACGCCTGGAGGCATGAGCACGGGGCGAGGCGAGGATTCCTTGACCCGAGGATCTCATCCTCGCGCCCTAGCCGGGGCGGGTCGAGGAATCCTCGCCGAGGATTTTTCTTGAAAATCCCCCCTCGACCCCCGGGTTTTGGGGTCGAGGATTGAATTCCTCGCCTCGAGGATTGATTCCTTGACCCGGGGCGAGGATTCCTTGACCTGGGCGGCTGGGGGGTTAAGGGGGGAAGGGGTAATGGGAACATGTGCAGGGAAGAATGAGCCTTATCCTGGTTTCTTGGAAAGCTCACTTCCACTCCTCACCGACGTATTAAAAGGCAACATTTCCCTGCCATGCTATGGGTCAGGGCTCTTTAGTTACCCACCTGCTGAGTGTAATTGATTACACTCAATCCATACCACTGCCGTTGATATGTGCTTCGCCTAGGTGGAATGAAATCGCAACCCTCCCTCTATTATGACTACAATGCCGATGGCCAATAAGCTTATTGCTTTGTCCACCCGCACACACCAAAAGCAGCCAACTTGTCTAAACATGGTGACACGCCCCGCACATCTCATGCCATTGCCAAGTTCAGCGCTGCCCGTGACAAAACCACAACCAACCACAACTGCCCACCCTTGCCTCACCGTGCCATCATGGCTGGATGGATGGCCATACAGCTTTTTGCTAGGTCCATCACGACCTACCACCATAAGCATGCAAATAAATAGATCAAGTCACACGGGCAATAGATGTCAAAGCACAATGAGCGAGCTGTCCCCGTTCATATTCCCTCCTCGAGCTCCAATCCCAACTCCGTCAGCGCTTGCGCTGCCAAACCACCAAGCCTTTCCCCCGGGTGCGTCGCGATCCATGACTTGAGGGTCATGCATGCGCGCACCCGCTCTGCACCAAGGCGATGCCGCTGCCATGTGATGAGGTTGCGGCCCTGCGAGAACATCCGCTCGCTAGCCGCAGAGGTGGCGGGGATGGCTAGGTAGTCCCTGGCCATCGCTTGCAAGGCTGGCAGATCCCTGGAGGGCAGGCAATCAGTTGCCTCAAAACAACGACGACACCCCTGCCTGATGCCGGGAGGTGGCATACCAGAGCAGAAACGTGCAATCGAGTTGCCTCCGCTGCTGTCCGGCATGCTGGGAGGGACAGGGACGTGACGAATATCAGTGGACTCTTTGAGCCGACAAAAAGAACAGTGACGAGAGGAGGGGGTATTGTGTGGGTCAGCATTGTCGCGTTAGCTCGCACGACAATAGTCAGGGTAGCTATCACAGCAGCAGGGATGCCAATGACATTTGGTAATAAAGGAGATATGGGGAACTGGAGCACAAAGGAGATATGGGGAACACAAAAGGGAACTGGAGTTTATTGCGGGATCCGATCCGATAGACAGTGGGAGTGACCGAGGGAGGGAGAGAAACCCGAGGTGGACCCAAGCATTGGAAGATCTGAGGTGGACGGAGTCACCGTGACATCAGCCCGGACGAGCTCAGGGGTTAGTCACCCATCATACATAAGTTGGCACCTTACGTTTACGTTGGTTTACGTTTACGGTAGTTTACGTAGTAAAGTTACGTTTACGTACGTGGGCCCAAAAAGGCTTTACGTTTACGGTCTGTTAGAAAGTTTTCCACCCTGCCCGAAATTTTTTACACCTCGTGTCAGATCTCAGTGGCAGGATTTGACACGAGGTTCCCTGACACGCGCTTTTGACACCCGGTAGGAACGCGCCCTCATTCCAGTGAACATTCCAATTTCCAACTCGCCGCAAGTGTGGCGAAGCTCCAACTCGTCAGGAAGCAAGTTTCGCAACGCACCCCGCGGAGCTTCCTATGAACGGCATCTGACATCCTCGTCTCCCCAAATACCAACAGATCTCCCCGTCTTCGGAAACCTAGCACGACTTAGTACCTAAGCCAATCCACATAGCCTAATCGAAGTAGATTATACCCAATCCCCCTCCCCCCTGCCTGCCATGGATCCAGCGCCCACGTCCCTTGGTATTCCTGGAGCGAAATCACTATTACTCTCTAACGCTTGACGATTTTGCTCCTAATCCGCCACCTCAGAGTTTGAGACATCCGTCGCTGGACACGACAGTGCTACTGATTGGTCGCTTGGCGTTTCGGCGGCTAAACATCTCCGAGCTTGCGGAATCCTTCTAGACCCAGTCCCGGGAAATACACCACGTCGCAACCGCCTTTCACACCTAATACGGGCTGCGTAGCTTCCAATTCGCAATTTTTTTTCCGCGTTTTTTTTAGCCCTGCCTGTACGACTTTACGTAAACTTACGCGTAAACAAACGTAAACGTAAACGTACACGTAACTGTACGTTTACGCGACCGGTATGGGCGTAAAGTGCCAACTTAGCATCATACTGGGAGTCTCGCACCTACCACGGGTAGCGCGCAACCTTCGCCAAGTAGTTGGAAGGCAAACTTCAAGGGTGTACGCTAGCCCCATTCTGCTTTCCCCTTGTTTGCTTCGATCGTACTGCAAGATTCTCATTCCCATCTTGAAATCGCGCAGTGTAAGGAATTCAGGTTCTCTGCCTGGTAGAGCATTTGATCGAGCAGAGACTTGTTGCTGAGTAGCTTGGCAACATCACAAGAAGCGCACGGGTGAGATCAGGAACATGGGAGCCTAGCGGGATCCCGGACAGCAGTGGCAGAGAAGAGAGAGGGGCAAGGGGAGCTCAGAAGGGGGAGAAGCCAGATCATGACAGCATTGCCAGTTCCCTCCTACCTTACCTGCCAAGGTCTACTGCTCGGTTGCTTGCATTGGTGTGATCTGCCCGGCATGCCTTGGCTGCATTCATGCCCACACCCATAAAGATATACCATGACATGGTTACGCATGCATATAGCTGCACACCCATGCCCATCACACAACCAACCCGCACCCCCCCAGCTCCACTGCTTGGTTGCCCGCATTTGTGTGATCCGCGACATACGCCTTCATTGCATTCGACCGCCACGCCACCCATGCCTGTCCACTCATGCCGTGATCATTCCCGTGGTCTCACATCCACGCATGCCAATCAGACGTGCCACGAACAAGTGCAGTGGGATGAGGAGGGGAGAGGGGGGTCTGGGAGAGAGGGGGGCGGCGGGGACGGGGTGATAAGTGCCATGTTAATCCCATAATACCTCCCCAGTTCGATTGCTCGGTTGCTGGCCGTGGTGTGATCTGCCACGTATGCCTTGACTGCATTCATGCTGTGCTTGGTGAGGCCCAGGAGCACGCGGGAGACAACCACCATCTGAGGGGAAGGGAAGGCACAGAGGCGTGGAGGAGGGGCGGCGAGGGGAGGAGGCCATACCTATGTATGCCTTGACTTGACTGCATTCATGCTGTGCTTGGTGAGGCCCAGGAGCACGCGGGAGATAACGACCATCTGCAGGAGGGGGAAGGCACCGAGGATGGCAGAAAAGGGGGCGAGGAGGGGAGGGGGGGTAAGAGTCACACACGCCTTGAGTCTTGCCTGCATTCATTCATGCTGGTGAGAACCAGGAGCACGCGGGAGATAACAACCATCTGCAGGGAGGGGGAGCGGAGAGAGAAAGTGAGAAACAAGGCGGGGAGGAGGCTGGTCTGCCACGTTTGCCTTCACATTCACCTTGGGGTTGATGAGCCCCAAGAGGACGTGGGAGACAAGCAATGGAGAGATAGGGGAGATTTCCGGGAAGTAGAGGAGGGGGCAGTGTCGGGACAAGGGGTGAAAAGGAGGGATGGGCGGAATGAGGCAAGTCAAAGCTGTGTGCTTGTACAGGAGCCCAGGCGAATAATAGAATACAGATGGACGGGATATAGAGCAGGCGGCCACACGGGCATTGGCAAGATGCCTCCGTTTAGGGAACCATGGCAAGATGCTGCATGCCCATTGGTGGAAGAGACCACGTGTAGGGTGAGATGATGAAGGACGAATGGCTTCCGTCTTCCCAATCTCCCTTGGTGCGTCTCTTTTCTCTCCCTCACCGTCACAGTCGTGCTCTGCCCCAGCAGCAGGTAGCTCGCCCCCGCCCCAGCATACGCCACCAGAATCACAAACCGGCGCCCCATGCGGTCACTCCATAGGCCCTGAGAGGCAGGGATGGGAGGACAGCGGAGAGGGACGCGGCTTTGGGGCACAGGGTCACGGCTCAATTGACTAGCAGCAGCAAGTAGCTCGCCCCAGCATACGCCACCAGAATCACAAACCGAAGACCCATGCGGTCACTGGGGGACAGTGTTGAGCGCGTAGGGGGAGGGACGAGGGGAAAGGAAAGATGGCGTTGTGAGGCGGCTCAAGGGTATGGGGGGGGAGGGGCGAGGGGAAAGAGCAGCTAGAATCACAAACTGCCGCCCCATGCAGTCAACTACTAGCAGACCCCGAGAGAAGGGGGCGAGAAAACGGGGGGGAGCCTGGGAGTGGAAGTTGGAACAGCAAGCGAGGCACCTTACCCACCAGTTAAGGGAAGAATGAGAGCACAAGAGAAGGAGCGGAGTGCAGAAGAGGAGGTTTGCTAACGAAGAAGGGCCCAGTAACGAGTTGGACAATGCCGTAGGTGGATGAGAGGAAGCCGACCTGTAACGGGGACGTTCCTAACGCGGACAGAGGGTTCAGGGGCAGGGTGGGTCATCAGCAAGAGGGGTAAGAGAGAATGGTGGACCATCTACGGCAGAGCACCCTCTCGAATGTTCTTAACGAAAGGCTACCAGAGATTGCTCGACTGTCAATGCTCGGTCGACACGTTCGAAATGCCATTGAAAAGCCCATCGAAAAGTCGAGTTCTGGCACTGCTAGTCCTGATACTGCTACTGGCAGTAGATAGGCCTGATTTCATTTGCGAACCGTACCGAGCTCCTTAATAAGCGGCGTGACTAGCGGCATGGCCAAACCCACAGCAAAGAGATCTAGGAACACGACGACCAATATGATGACGCCACGTGGCACGCCTTGCCCTGATGTCGTCACCTCCCGCGTCGGCGCAGTGCCTCGTCTCCCCACTACCGTCTCCTGTCCGTCCCCGTACTCGATATTGCTTGTCCCTCCTTTCTCCATACGGCCAACTGCCCCGTCGCTCGTCATTTCGCCGTTACACATCCGCGATAGTAGCGCTTCGCTGCCGCTAAATTCGTCCACTTCTCTAATTTCACCCCCTTTCGTTGCCGCGGATCTCTCCGCCGCCCGCCATTTCTCCGCCAATAGCGCTTCCCCCTCTCCCTCGGGTTCCGCTTCCCCCACCCGCACCATTCGCGCTCACTGCTTGAACCGCACTGCCCCCATCCGCTGCGTCACCTACTTTGCAGACGAGTTCCTTGCTATAAGCCTATCGGATAACCGAAAAATACCATGACGAATTTGGGTCAGGGTTTGAGCACCGATTGGCACCACTGTGATAAAATCGTAACGGGCCACGAAGTATCAAGATTGAAAAGAAAAAGTTCTGAAGAGAATTTTGGCTGAAATATAGAGAATTGATTGAGAAAGTGTTGGCTGAACCATCACGCTTTACAGAACAGCATCTGGTTGCGGGCATCGCGTATGAGTGGCCAGAAACGCGTTTCACTGCCCCGCAGGAAGCGCTCGCTGCCTAGGGATTCGTGAGCAACCATCCCCGAGTGTCAACGTATATATATATATTATATATATATGTGTGTAGGCTAGGTCGGTGCACTACAAGTTATGGTTCTTACTGTAGAGAGGACAATCCACTTCTTGTATTTCTCTCTCTTCACTAGTCCAACTCTCTTTTCTCTCGCTACTTCTTCCTACCTAGCTAAACCCTCCTAACATGGTTTCAGAGCAGGTTTATCCTGCTGGACCTTCTCCTCACGCTTCCGCAGCGCACTCTCTCCTCTCCTCTCCCTTTCGCGCCGCCGTGGCGGCCTCGTCGCGCTGAAATGGCAGTCTCGATGCGCTGCCGTAGCGGCCTCGATGCGCTGCTGTGGCGGCCTCGTCGTGCTGCTGTGGCGGCTTCGACGTGCCAGCGCACGGGCGGCAGCTGCCAGAGCGCTGGATTAGCCCCAGCCTGCACGCCCGCACGCCAACCAGCTTGCCAGCCAGGGCGGCTCGCTAACAGGCGTCGCAGTCGAAGACCCGCCCCCCTCCTTCCCGCTGCAGCTGCTAGTGGTCTCGTGCCGTCCTCCCCCGTCGTCACAGAGTTGTGCCACACTGCCGGGTGCCTCGGGCGCCATCGCCGCCGCCGCTGTTGTCGCTGCTGCCGCTGCCCCCGCCAACGACGTCGCCGCTACGCACGCCGAGGGGTTGACCCGCTGTAGAATCCCACAGTTGCTTCTGGGTATGGGGTGCAGGGCTTAGAGGTGATGGGTGCGTGGTGCGCCATTTCCTGACTACTCATACCAGTGGATAGACTAGTAGAGCTGCCCTGGCCATTTGCCTCCGTGAGTAGCGCCTACCAAGCCTAGGAGGGGTGTCAACATATATATATTTTACATACAGTGATGGAAAATATTGTCCGGATATTTAGCATGATTTATCATTTTGAGGCGTTGTACTCAATAAAATTTTAAACCTTAGTCAAAGGTGGGCATACATTTTGAGAAGAGCACGTAGAGGACTCATTCAAGCCGTATAAAACTAGAGTAGTGTATTACAAGTTCCCAAAACACTAAAGATTATAATTTTTAACACACGTAGTGTTTTTCAAAAATTGTGTATTGTGAAAGCGAAACTGATTGTACTGAAGCGTTGGGCATCGTCGAAGCGCGCTACTCGCCCTTCTCCAACTACATATACGTGGGTTGGAGCTCATTTACCTCCACCCACGTCTCTCATTTTTCAAACGGCTCAGTCAACTTTCCCGCTCTAGCTTTTCTCCCGTTCAAGCTGGCTAAGACTAGAACTTTGCCTCGCGGCGAGTCTCCCTCGACTCTTCTCTCCGACATTTTTAAGTTTCACCGATCCGTCATGGCTCCGACTACGAATAATCGCGGCGAGTCCAACGTCGTCACCGGCCACCCCAATTCCGAGTCTACTCGCCAAGCCCCGGAAATTGCGGGCGACCGGCGCAACAAGCGTCGGGCAGAAGAAGGGGCAACCGCCCCAACTGGGGTTGACGTTCTGCTGGGAGGGGGCGAGGTCAACAGTCAGCTTGCTGACGCGCCCCCGCCCCCTTCTGAGCCACACGCGCAAGTGGCTGGGCAGAGCCAGCCACTCGCGCCTGACGCCGAGCAGCAGCACGCGCTAGCCCCGCAAGTGGCGGGCCCCTCTCGCCAGCGCAAAAGGGGGCGCGCGGCTGCCTCGTCTGACGTGCCGCCCACCCCGACATTGACCCCGGCGTTGACCCCTGCGCAGGTCAACGCGCTGCTGACGCTGTTACAGCAGCAGGCGACGAGTGTTACGGCCGCCGAAACTGCTCAACCTGCTGCTTCTGAATCTGCTAAAAAAGAACCTGCAAAAACAGAAAAGGCCACACGCGTAACCAAGACGCCACGCCTCGCTAAGGACGCCATCCCCAGCATCCCGCCTGCCCCGGCGGCCGACAACGACAGCGACGACTCCGACAATGACGCTGGTGAGGTCCCCGGCACTGCTGCAAATTCAATTCCCACGACACTTCGAAGTTCTCCAAGTCGAAGACGCCTCCGACTTCCGCACGGCCAAGCGTTTCAAGCTGTACCAGCAGAAGAGTTTGCTGACCTCAAGGCCTTTCAAGCAGGCCGTCGCTGACGTGGCCGCAATGGACCGCGCCGAGGGCGGATTTGCTCGAGGAAATCGCGGAGGCGGCCGCATGCCCATGCCATTCGTGCCAAAGCGTGGTCCGCCGCCTACGGGAGAATTCCGTGGCTTCCGAGGCACTTGCTTCCGCTGTGGCCAGCCGGGGCATGTGGCCAGCGGCTGCCCGGCAATTGGGCATGGTGGCCAAGGACCCGCACCAGTGGTGTAGGGGTCGGGCCATGGGCGCTTGCGCAAGTGGCGCAAGGCGCAAGGCACCCGGTGTGTGCGTAGGCCATTGGGCCCACCCCTTAGGGGCACGGGTGGCAGAGGGCCAGCCCTAGTGTAGGCCAATCAAAGGCCCTAGGATCAGAGCAAGGGAAGGGGAACATGCCCCCTCGGTCCCAAATGATAGCCCGACCTTGCAAGGCGGACTTTGCATGCCTAGGAGCATGTTGAGTAGAGATAAAGCTTGGTTAAAATAAGGAGCCACGGTCCTTCATTTTTTTTTTTCAGGTCTTGGTCCCCTAATATAACCAGAGAAAAGGGGGAGCAGCACCACAAGAGGCGCAGCAAAAAAAAAAAAAAAAAAAAAAAAAAAAAAGAGGTGGGGGGGGGATTGAGCACGGAACAGGGAAGCATAGTGGGTGGCTCAACCCCCGCTGCATGTCACGCAGCACCCCTGGCCAGAGAAGGAAGGCCATCAGGAACACCAATGGCCCGCCACTTACCCACACAGCGTTGCTCCTCGATTGGACATGCAAAAAAAAAAAAAAAAAAAAACAGAATTCAAGCATTATGCGAGCCTTTACAAGGCGCCTACCCTCCAACCCGGTGTGCTACACCCTGGACCCTAAGCATTACCCCCCCGTGGGCATACAGGAACAGCCACACCAGCCTCATCTAGGGTTGCCCACCCTGGCATTGGAAAAAAAAAAAAAAAAAAAAAAAAAAAAAAAAAAAACGAGTCACATAAGCATGCGCGCACGCACGCGGTATGGCCCACGAACGGGAACAGCAACACAACACCGCACGCATGCCACACAAGCACACAAGAGGTGGCTAGAAGAAAGACAAAAAAAAAAAAAAAAAAAAAAAACACGGGCGTTGAGTCTCAAAACCCAAGAAATGATAGCGCAAGCGAAGGCGGCAATAAGAGGGTAACATGCGTTCGCGAGTAGAAGCGCGGGTGAAGGCACAAGTTGTGGGAATACGAGGGCACCAAGGGAAGCAAACATCGGGGCTCAGGTTCGAACGCAAGCTCGGCATGCGTAGGCGTGCAAATCGACACACACGCAGGTCACGCCGCTCAGACCCGCTCAAAGCGCAGGCACCCACCGACCTAAGCATCTTGCTCGCATGTGGCACCTCAACCCGGCACGCCCTCCTCAGCCACTAGGCTTCACACTCCCCCCCCCCACGCTCTAGGTTTCCGGTAGGCATCAGCCCTGCAGATGAACTCAAGTATTCGTCCCTTGCGTCTCCTTGCATGATGGCACTCCCACAGGCACCAGACTTCGCGAATGTGCACACAACAGTGACCCCTACGAATACGCGGTTACTGACAAGATGGTCACCAAAATGCGCGGCCGCCTACGTACCACGTTCGCTTGGTGGAGCTCGTGGTGCACTAGCAGTTTCATCCTCTCAGTCATTGCCAAAGGATACTGGATGCCATGGAAACTCGGGCCGCCGCCGGCCTTTCACGATCGCAACCATGCCGGCGCACGCATCCACGAAGCATTCACGCGCACGGCCATCCTTGAACTCACCGAGACCGGCGCGGCCATCCAAATTCCTGCGGCGAAACTGAGATGCATAAGCCCACTCAACGTGGTCGAGCAGAAAGACAAGTGTCGCATGATTCTGGATCTCCGAAAGGTGAACGACGCAATAATCGTCCCCAAATTTAAATATGAGGGACTCAACCGCGTAGCGGACCTCGCCTGCCAAGGAGATTGGATGTTCTCCATCGACTTGAAATCAGGCTACCACCATGTCGACATCCACCCCTCGTGCTGGACGTTCCTCGGCTTTGAATTCGACGGGCGCACATACGCCTTCCGATCCTTGCCGTTCGGCCTCGCCACAGCACCATTCGTCCTCACGCAGCTCATTAAGCAATTAGCTCGGCGATGGCGGGAGCAGGGGGTCCGCGTGATACCCTACGTGGACGATATCCTCTTCCTGTGCCCGACCCAGGCACACGCTCAAGCTACGTGCCAACGAGTCGTTATCGATCTCAAGGCCACAGGGCTCGTACTCAACTCAAAAAAGTCAAAGCTGATACCAACACAGCACCTTCGGTTCCTTGGCGTAGAACTTGACACGCAGGCCGGCCGGTTCTCCATCGGCGAGGAGCGGCGAGCCACACTCAACGCCACCCTCCATGCCCTACTGCGCGCAAGCTCAGCTCAGCGGAAAGTCCCAGTCCGGCAACTGGCCCGAGTTACAGGCATGTTGGCATCGATGGCTGTCGCACTCGGCACCGCCACCCGAGCGTTCAGCCACGCCATGCTAGAAACAATCAACGACGCGCCGACATGGACCAGCATGGTCATCCTCTCCCCACCCGCCATCGAAGAGCTGAGATTCTGGATCCAAGAGTT